GAGTCGATAACGTCGTTGAGTGCACAGTGCCATTAAAGGGAGAAAAAGAAAGAAAGAAACAAAGCGATAGGTTACCTCGAGGGAAAGAGACCGTAATTACACTTCTGAGGAGGGCTGCAGAACGACTGCACAAAAGGCACAATGGCATTAACATTTCTCGTTACATCGATTTTTCTTTCCTTTTTTTTTTTTTTTTTTTAAAGCCTGCCTAGAAATATTCACATTGAATATAAAAATAACAACAACAACAACTTTAATACAACTGGAAAGTGCGAAAAATCCAGAATCCTCCCTCCCCGAACACGGAAAGATCTCAGGAAAAAAAAAAAAAAAAAAAAAAAAAAAAGAAGAAGAAGAAGAAGAAGAAGAAGAAGCCTGGAGCGTTGGGGCGGGTCTCACCCTTGGGACACGGCTATCCTTCGCAGTGCGCCGATACGGGCGGGGGTGGGAGAGGCTCCGTACATTCAGCCCCGCTCATGGCACTCTCAGAGCCCCCCTGGATCCATTCTCCACGGAGCTGCGCTCAGTTCCGCGGCGCTTCGGGTGTTGTTTTTTTTTTCCCCCTCTCTCTTTGTCTCTCTCTGGTCAGTCTCCGCCAATCCGACACAGGACGGAGCAAACAAACCAACAAACAGTCCGCAGCCGTCGCACCACAGCGTGGATCCCACGGAACGGCGGTGCCAGGCCGCGAGTCCTCGGCGGCCGGGGCGGATGGGGAGAGGCTGAGCGACCGTCCGAATAATATTAATAATAAAAATAACAATAAAATAGCAATAAATACTGTCCGGGGCGCCGCGGCGCTGCCGTCGGGGCGGTGCCGTCGGGGCGCTCACTGCGTGCCGGCGGCCGCGGCGCAGGACAGGGCCCAGCCGGGCAGGCAGTAGTAGGGGTAGTAGTAAGAGGGCTGCAGGGCGAGCAGCGAGGGCGGCCGCAGCACCTCGCCGGGCTGGTACTGTCTCTGGTCGTCGCGCACCAGCACCTTGACGGCCACCTTCTTGGCGGCGGGGGCGGCGGCCAGCAGGTCTGCCGCCATCTGCCGCCGTTTGGTTTTGTAGCGGCGGTTCTGGAACCAGATCTTCACCTGCGTCTCGGTCAGCTTGAGGGAGGCGGCCAGGTCGGCGCGTTCGGGCCCCGACAAATAGCGCTGGTGGTTGAAGCGCCGCTCCAGCTCGAACACCTGCGCGTGGGAAAATGCGGCGCGGGAGCGCTTCTTGCGCGGCTTCGGCGCCGCCGCCTCCTCCTCGGCCGCCAGCAGCCTCCCGCCCGCCGCCTCCTCCTCGTCGGCCGGGCCGCGACCTGCGGGCAGGGCAGAGCGCGGCGTCACGGCCCGCGGACGCCGGGACACCCCGCGTCCATCACCCCCCCCCGCCCTCCCGACTCACCGCCCGCCGCCCCCTCCCCCCAACCCGTCCCGTCCCGCCGCTATACCTGAAGCGGCGGCCGATGCTTCGCTGTCGCTGCGCGCTCCGTCCCGGTCCCGGTCCCGCTCCCGCTCCGCCGCCGCCTCCGAAGTTCGCGCCTCCGCCGCCGGCCGCCCCCTGCCCGCAGCCTCGTTGGGGCGGGCGCTGCCCCCGGCGCTCTCCTCCTCGGAGCGCCGCTCGCTCTCGGGCTCCTCGCTCAGCGCCGAGTCCGAGTCCCAGGCGGGCGGCGGGCGCGGGGCGGGCGGCGGCGGGGCCTCGGCGCGGGCAGCACACAGCCGCCAGCCGCGGGCGCGCTCCTCCTTCTTGTTGAGGATGGCCTGGATGGAGAAAGGCGTCAGGGCGGTGCCGCCGCCGCCGCGGACGGCCATGGCCCGGCGGCCCCGGGCGGAGAGCAGCGACGGCGCCGCAACTTCAGCTGGGCGTCCGCATCGCCGCCTCCGGCCGCGGCCGCGCCGCCGCCGTTGCTGGGCCCTTGTGTGCCGCCGGGAGGGCGGGCGCCAGCGGGGGCAGGCTGTGTGCGCCGCCGGCCCGCCCGCCCATAGGGCCGGGGCCGGGCCGCGCTCCACCGGGCGCCGCCGCGGGTCCCTGGCGGCGCGGGCGCTGCCTCCGCCCCGCTCTGTCCCGCCCCGCGCCCGCCCTCCGCTTTTTCTCCCGGCGGCGCTGTCATCCCTCACCGCCGCGTGACAGCGCCGGCCCCGCGCCTCCCCATTGGGCGGCGGGCGCGCGGGGCGCGCTCCAATTGGCTCCCCGCCGCGGGGCGATGCCGCTCCGCGGGGCGCGCGGCGGGGCGCGCGGAGCATTAACCCCTTCTGGCCCGGTGGGGCCGAGCGGGACGGGGCGGCCGAGGAGGGTGCGGGTGGCGCGGCGGGGCCTTCCTGGAGCACGGCGGTCCCGGACCGAGGGCGAGTCAGAAAGCGACGCGCACGGAACGCGACTGCAGCGCGAGGGGGTACCGCGCACCGCCCCGCGTGGTTCTGGAGACGGCGTCGGTGCGCGGAGGGCTGCGGGAACCGACGAACAGCGCTCCCGTCCGAAAATAAAGGGAGAAAATACAGAATGCCTCTCCAGTAAGCGGTGCGGAGCCGGCGGCGTCGGCCGTCTGACGGAGCTCCCGCTGTGCCCCTGAGCCCGCCGCCCCGCCCCGACGGAGCCGCTTGTGAGAACTGCAGGGGAGTGCGAGGCGGAGAGCGCCGTGCGGGGCTGTGCAGGGCTGTGCGGGGCTGAGCGGGCGCTGTCAGAGGGGCGCGGGGCTCTGAGGCCGGGAGGCACCGGGCTGTGCCTCCCGATTCCCACCCAGGGAGCAAGAGGCCGAGGAGCCGCACTTCTTTCTTTTCCTTTTTTTTTTTTTTTTTTTTTCCATTTTGATCTTTATTCTCCCACCCAGGGCGATCTCTTCTCCATCGGCCCGACATCAGCAGCTCGGAGGGAAAACGAACGGGGTAAGCGCCGGGGATTGGCGGCGGGGCCGTCGGCGCCGGGAGGGGGGAGGCGGATGGAAGCACAGAGTCGAACCCACCGCCCGGGTCGCTTTACGGGAGATCCCCGAGTCGGTTCCTCGGCGCGGACCCTCCACGGGCAGCCCCCGCCGCGCCGCTCCCGTGCAGCCGGGGCTGGGGCCGGCCCGGAGCTGCCGGCGGGCGGCTGCCCCCCCTAGAGGTGGTCCGGCCGCACTGCCCGCTGCGGGACGCCGGGGGGGAACGGGGGGTGCGCTCGTTTGGTTCCTTTTTGTTTTTGGTTTTTGTTTTTTTCCCCCTTTTCATTTTTTTCTTTCTTTTTCTTTTTTTTTTTTTTTTCCCCTCGCTTAAAAATATTTTACTTTACTTTATTTTATTTTATTTTATTTTATTTTATTTTATTTTATTTTATTTTATTTTATTTTAATTTTTTTTAATTTTATTTTATTTTCTATATTATCTTTCTATAAGCCCAAACATTTCTCAGGTGACAAGCAACTTGTGCGCTGAGGCACCGGAACTGAGAAGGACGTGTTGTAGAATTATAGAGTCGTTTGAGTTGGAAGAGGCCCTGAAGGGCCATTTAGCCCAACTCCCCTACAACAAACAGGAACACCTACAGCTCCATCAGGTGCTCGCAGCCTCGTCCAGCCTGAACTTGAGTGCCTCCAGGTACGGGGCAGCCACCGCCTCTCTGGGCAACCTGTTCCAGCCTGACCAGCCTTATCGTAACACACATTTCCCTTAAATTCGATCTTCGATCTCCCCTCTAGGAGTAGAATCCTGCTTGGGTTGAGCATCACGTTACAATGTCCCCGCTTCTTCTCCCGACAAACACGGAGTCACAAACCCCGCAGCCTCCTCCGGCTCTGCCGGAGACGTCTGGGAGACGGTAACTGCACGAGCGGAGCTCCCGCCGAGGAGCGGCTGCAGGCTGGGGGGAGCCGCCTCCTGGCTGCACCCCGGCTGTGCCACCAACGAATGCCAGCGTGCAGCTCGCTGCTTCTGCAGGAAAATCTCGTCTGCTTTTGTCTCTATTTCCTAAATGACGCCCATCTATTTCCGAGGTAACGCGGCCGCACGGCGGTGACAGCCCCGTCGGGTCACCGCAGCCCCGTCCCTGCGTCGCTCCGAACTCGTGGGCTCCAGCGGCAGAGGGATGCACCGCCCGTATCTCTCCCTAATATGAAAAAATATTCCTTATTTTTGGATTTGAACGTATTATCAAACGTGGGGAGCGCGCAGATGTCCTGCCGGCAGCCGGGATTTTCATCGCACCGACGTGACAAACCCTCAGCAAATGAGCTCGGAGGGCTTTCATAGCGGGTGGCAATGCCCTCTCCGCTCACAGTCCTTATATGGGGAAAAGCCGTGTCCCTGGGGCCGGGAGCTCCGAGCACCAACATTCCTATGGACGTTTACAGCCGAAGCGCACAGCCGCCGGAGCGCTGTCCGCCGTGCGCGGCGCGGTGCGGCCGTGGCGTCGCTCGGGGCCGCGGGGCGAAGCGATCCACTGCACCTCCCGCTGCTCCGTCCCCCCCCTTCTGCCTCCCCCCCCCCGTAGATCTCCCGAAGGATCCCGGTGAGCACCCGCTGCTCTCACACCACACGGCCCGGGAGGAGTGGGGCCGTCCCCGGGCAGAGCAGCGCCTCGCGTCAGTCCGCTCCTCCGCTCCGTCCCTGCTTTTATGTCGGCTTTCCCACTGCTGCGCCGTTATATGTTGTCATCTTCCGACCTATTTATTTCCCTGCAGGACAGAAACACGGCCCAGGCAGGATTCAATTGATTTGCTAATAAGAGGCAAAGCGACACATCCAAACGGCCAGGTACGTCTCTCAGTCAGTAACTGAAGCTTTTGAATTTCCCAGTGCAATAAATACCGCAGTGTGTAACTCCTGCGTTCGGCTTTTCATCTATTTCCAGGAATTTTCAGAAGTGGGATTCATTTGCAGTCTCTGATAGAAGAACGGAAGCAGAAACGGATCAAACAGTGCACCAAAGTCTCACTGTGTCACCTGAACAGCTCTGCTCCATTTATCCCGAATGTGTGCACACTATCTGTTGGCACTGTAACGAATATTTACTGTATTACACGGAAGGTTTCACTGTGTGAAAAGCTTTAGGATCTTAAAAACACCCATAGCACGGATTCATTATCAGGTACAGCACCTAAGGTTTCCTCTACCAATCTCCAACAACATAATATTTCCTACTTGTATGTTCCTTCCTTCCTTCCTTCCTTCCTTCCTTCCTTCCTTCCTTCCTTCCTTCCTTCCTTCCTTCCTTCCTTCCTTCCTTCCTTCCTTCCTTCCTTCCTTCCTTCCTTCCTTCCTTCCTTCCTTCCTTCCTTCCTTCCTTCCTTCCTTCCTTCCTTCCTTCCTTCCTTCCTTCCTTCCTTCCTTCCTTCCTTCCTTCCTTCCTTCCTTCCTTCCTTCCTTCCTTCCTTCCTTCCTTCCTTCCTTCCTTCCTTCCTTCCTTCCTTCCT